ATATAATATACATATAACTATAGAGTTATTCAAATATGAGTTTGAAAAATGGAGTTACCGTTTATTAAATGTAGGACATTGAGCAATTTCTGCATCTTAATTGAGATGTTTTCCCTCATTTGTACAATGTAAATAATATATTAATGTGGTCAGATTATTCATAGAATTTAAAAAGATATAAAATAAAAAACACACTGCACAATGGCTGACACACAAAAGACACTTAAAATTTTAACCACTTTTAGTGGCAGGATTATTTTTTCAGAAGATTTAAATGCATTAAATTTTATACTTACCGAACAATATTCTACACTATGATTAAATATCTTGACCTGGGCTATTGACATAAAGAGACCATATGCCCTGGGAATGTTGTACACACTAACAGTCCTGAGCATGTCACCTTGTACTTGCAGTGCTCTCAATGTGCCAGGTGTTTCATGTCTATGACAATGTGTACATGCCTTGAATATTTTCCCAACTCTTATTCACTTGGTGAATTGATAAGGTGCACCTTAGGCATTAGCTCCCTATGGAAACCATTTTTAACACCCTTCACTCTAATCACTTCCTAGACAATGTTTTTTTAATATGCTTTCCCATTTCCATCAAAGCACTTTTATTTCTGTGCCTTCATCATCTTGCTACCTGTGTCTGTGTCCCACTGGAATGTGGATGATCTGTTTTTTCTTTCTTATTTCCATGTTCTCAAATTGTAATATAACTCTGGCACAACAGCTTAGACTTTACATTCAAATATCAGCTCTTTGAACAAACTGTCTCTGTGCTCACCATTTCTTAACCTTTCTATAACTCAGTTTTCTCACCTATGAAATGAGACTAATAATAATCAGGATAGTCTTCTTGTGAAAATTAAATTAAAAATATGGGGAAAATACCTAGTATAAGACCCTGACTATGTTCAACTAGCTACAGTAATTACTGATACTTCATCATGCTCTCCATCATCATATCACAATCAACAGAACAATAAAAAGCTAAGGTAAATAATGTGGACAATAGGGACCCCACATAGGTCAGAAAGAGTATAGTGCAGTGAATAAGAGACAGATTCAGGAGCCAGACTGTTTCCATTTCAACTCTGACTTCATTTTCTGTTATAGATTGAATTGCATCTCTCAAAAAGATACACTGAAGTACAAAATCCTTGTCCCTGAGAATGTGAACTTATTTAAGGCACTAGGGTTTGATTTGCATATGTTTTCACTTAACAGGAGGAGGATGAGTCTCGATCTTAATCACTTCTGAGTAGTTTATAATAAAAAAAGAGGACAGATGGGGAAACAGAATTATACATACAGAGAGAAGAGAGATCCCATGTCACATGAAAGGGAGTTGCCACATATAACATAGCACATGAATGCGGCACATTCATGCCAAAGATTACAACAGCTACCTCAACTTAGAGAGGTTTGGCACAGTTTCTCTTTTAAAGCCCCCAAAAGGAATAGACATGGCCAAGACCCTGGTATGGACTTCTGTTGTTGTTGCTGTTGTTAGGTGGCCTTGAATCATCTCCAACTCATAGCGACCCTATGTACAATGGAATAAAACACTGCCCAGTCCTTCACCAGCCCCATGATCCCTGCATGCCTGAGTCCATCATTGCAGCCACTGGGTCAATCCATCTTGTTGAGGGCCTTCCTCTTTTCTGTTGACCTTCCACTTACTAAATATGATATCGTTCTCCAGGGAATGGTCCCTTCTGAAAACATGACCAAAGTAGGTGAGAAGAACTCTGGTCATTCTTAATTCCAAGGAGCATTCTGGCCGCACTTCTTCCTGGACAGATTTGTTAGTTTTAGCAGTTCATAGTACTTTCAGTATTCTTCACCAACACCACAACTCAAAAGCATTGACTCTTCTTTGGTCTTCCTTAATCATTGTCCACGTCTCACATGCATATGAGGTGATTGAAAATACCATGGCTTAGGTCCAGAGCACCTTAGTCTTCAAGGAGATATTTTGCTCTTCAGCCCTGAAAGAGGTCTTTTGTAGATTTGCCCAATGCTATTTGGTGTCTGATATCTTGACTGCTGCTTCCATTGGTGTTGATTGTAGAACCAAGTCATATGAAGTCTTTGACAACTTCAATCTTTTCTTTATTTATCGTGATGCTGCTTATTGGTCCAGATGTGAGGATTTTTGTTTTCTTTATATTGAGATGTAATCCATACTGCAGACTGTATTCTTCAATCTTCACTAGGGAGTGCTTCAAGTCATCCTCGCTTTCAGCAGGCAAAATTGTGTCATCAGTGTGTTACAGGTTACTAGTGATTCTGCCTCCAATCCTGAGGCCACATTCTTCATATGATCCAGCTTCTCAGATTATTTTCTCAGTATACAGATTGAATACATATGGTGAAAGGATACAATGCTGATGCACTCCCTTCTTGAATTTAAACCATGCAGTGTCCCCTTATTCTGTTTGGACAACAGCCTCCTGGTCTACGTACAGGTTTCTCATGAATACAATTAAATGTTCTGGAATTCCCAGACTTCTCAAAGTTACCCACAATTTTTTATGATCCACACAATCAAATGGTTTTGCTAAGTCAATAAAACACAAATAAACATCTTTCTGGTATTCTTTGGTTTGAGCCAAGATACATCTGACATCAGCAATGTTATCCCTCCTTCCATGTCCTCTTCTGAATCTAGCTTGCATCTCTGTCAATATAATGCTGCAACCATTTTTGAATTATCCTCAGTAAGATTTTCCTTGTGTGGAATATTAATGATATTGTTCAATAATTTCCACATCCTGTGGGATCACCTTTCTTTGGAATTGGTACAAACATGGATCTGTTCCAGTCAGTTGGCCAGATGACTGGAATGCCAAATATCTTGGCATAGCCAAATGAGTACCCCCAGCATGGCATCTCTTTGTTGAAACATCTCAATGGGTATTCCATCAATTCCTGGATCTTTGTTTTTTTGCCAATTCCTTCAGTGCAGCTTCAACTTCTTCCTTCACTACCATTGGTTCTTGATCATATACAACATCTTGAAATGGATGAACATCAACCAATTCTTTCTGGTACAGTGACTTTGTGTATTACTTCCATTTTCTTTTAATGTTTCCTGCATTATTCAATATATTGCTCATAGAATCTTTCAAAATTGCAACTTGAGGCTTAAATTTTTTCTTCAGTTCTTTCAGCTTGAGAAATGACAAGTGTGTTCTTACCTTTTGGCATGTTATCTCCAGGTCTTTGTACATTTCATTATAAAAATTGACTTTGTCTTCTTGAGCTGCTCTTTGAAATCTTTTGTTCAGCTCTTTTATCTTGTCATTTCTTCCATTTGCTTTAGTTACTCTACATTCAAGGGCAAGTTTCAGAGTTTTTTCTCACATTTCTTTTTTGGACTTTTCTTCCTTTTCTCTCTTTTTAATGACTTTTTGCATTCTTCATGGATGATGCTCTTGATATCATTCCACAATTCCTCTGGTTTTCAGTCATTGGTGTTCAGTGCATCAAATCTGTTCTTCAGATGGTCTCTAAGTTCAGAAGGGATATAATTAAGGTCATATTTTGGCTCTCATGGACTTTTTAAAATTGTCTTCAACTTCAACTTGAACTTGCATATGAACAGTTGATGGTCTGTTCCAGAATCAACTTCTGGCCTTGTTTTGGCTGAAGATACTGAGCTTCTCTATCACCTCTTGCCAAAGATGTAGTCAATCTGATTCTTGTGCACTCCATCTTCTGAAGTCCACACGTATAGTCACTCTTTGTGTTCTTGAAAAAAGAGTATTTGCAATGAATAAGCCGTTGGTCTTACAAAATTCTATTATATGATATCCAATAACATTTCTATCACCAAGGCCCTATTTTCTAACTACTGGTAATTCTTCTTTGCTTTCAACTTTTGCATTCCAATCACCAGTGATAATCAGCACATCTTGATTTCATGTTCAGTCATTTTCAGAATACATATATTGGTAAAAATCTTCAATTTCCTCATCATTGGTTTTGGTGGTTGATGTGTAAATTTGAATATTACTAGTATTAAAGGACCTTCTTTGTAATAAATAAATAAAAAACCTCACTGCCATTGAGTCAAATCTGACTCTTAGCAACCCTTCCTTGGGTTTCCAAGGTGGTATCTTTAGAGAAGCAGACTACCCAGCCTTCCTCCCAAGGAGTAGCTGGTGGGTTTGTACTCCCAGCCTTCTAGTTAGAAGTCAAATGCCTTGGGCACTACACCACCAGAGCTCCTGGCCTTCCTTGTAGGAGTATGGATCTTATCCTATCACTGACAGCACTGTACTTCAGGATAGATCTTGAAACATTCTTTGTGATGATGAATGCCACACCATTCAATTTGTCATTTCCAATACATTAGATCATATGGTTGTCTGATTCAAAATGGCCTAAACCAGTCCATTTCAGCTCATTAGTGCCTAGGATATCAGTCTTTATGCATTCCATTTCATTGTCAACAACTTCCACTTTTCTTGGAATCATATTTTATACATTCCATGTTTGATTATTAATAGATATTTGCAGCTGTGTCTTCTCATTTTTTGTCATGCCACATCAGCAAATGGAGGTCCTGAAATCTTTACTACATCCAAATCATTAAGGTTGGTTCTACTCTGAGGAGGCAACTCTTTCATATTTTGAGTGCCTTCTAACCTGAGGGGCTCATCTTCTGGCACTATATCAGACAATATTACAGGACTATTCATACAGTTTTTCAACAGTATATCAGCCAGTGTTTCACTGCTATTCATAAGGTTTTTCCTGGTCAATTCTTTGAGAAGTGGATGGATTCTTCCTTCTTCTGAGTCTGTCTTAGTCTGGAAGCTTCGCTGAAGCCTGTCCACCACGGGTAATCTTGTTGGTATTTGAAACATTGGTGGCACAGCCTCAAGCCTCACAGCAACATGCAAGCTATGGTATGACACTGACAGACAAGATTGTCTTCCTTAGTTGTTCCAAACCACTCCACTCCCACTTCCCAGCCTCTCTACCTTTTCCAGACCTCCATAGCCAGCTCTCACTTGGATATGGACTTCTAGACTCCAAAACAGTGAAATAATAAAATTCTTTTCACCCAAGCACTTGTTAGGCAGCAGTATTCTCTGCACACATTGAAGCCTCACTTTTTCATACTATGTTTTGACAGCCCTGAGAGAACCAAGAAACTCTATGGTGTTTAGAAATAACTTACCTTTTCTAAGCCTGGTTAAACATGTTCAACATAAAAAAAATAACAATTATATTACCTACCTAATGTTAAGGAGCTCTGGTAGCATAGTGGCTAAGACACTTGCCTGCTAACCAGACGGCTGGCGGTTCAAACCCACCAGCCACTCCTCGGAAGGAAGGTTGGGCAATCCTACTTCCGTAGTGATACCGCCTCGGAAACCCAAGGAGGGGTCGCTATGAGTCAGGTTTGACTCGACGGCACATAACAACAACAACAACAATAGATATGTTAAGAAGCTCTGGTGGTTCTCTGGTTAAAGTACTGTGCTACTAACCAAAGTTCAGAAATTCAAACCCACCAGCCACTCCTTGGGAAAAATACGTGGCAGTCTGGTTCCATAAAGATTTACAGCCTTTGACACTCTACGAGGCCAGTTCTACTCTGTTCTATAGAGTTGCTATGAGTAGAAAATGACTCCATGGTTATTGGTTTAATAGGTGTGTTATGAAAATTAAGTTGGAAAACATATGCAAATCTCTTAGCACACCAAACCAAGAAAAAACAGCACATGGTAGGTATTAAATAAATGTAATGTTTAAGTTGAATATAAAATAATAATAATAATAATATCAGATGGTTTTAAAACTTTTCTTATCAGGTATAGATCTTGGCTTTGAGCTTTTATTTATTTATTTTTTTTGATTGAGACTTCAGAAAGTCTAATATATTTTCACAAATGATATTCTCTCTTCTAAGGCATTTATCCATCTCCATAATGAGGTTTATTAAAGAATCTTCAGAACTATCCTGTAGGGAATTTAAAATTTTCTTCTGGAGTTCATTCCTATATTCATTTAACACTTGATCATAATTAGTTTTCATCAGTTTATAATATGAAAATCACAGAGGTCAAATTGATCTCAGAAGCTGTGAGGAATTGATGGCTTTGCCGAGCACACAATTTTCTCTCCTGTATTTGCAAACCACATATTCTCAGACTGAATTTCAAATGACATTTCGTTTCAAAGCTCATATAATAATAAATAATAACTGCTATGGTTGAGCCCAGAAATATATTCAAAACTGTTTAAAAATGCAAGACTCTTTACATATTAATCCACTGAGACAAATCAAGTGAATTTGTCCTTTGCTTCTGAGAAAATGAGCTTTCATCTTACCTGAAGGTTGACTTTAATTCCATCAAGTTCTCTTGATGTCTTTGTTAGCTGACGGAGGATGGTGCTTCGTTCCTTAAATACTTCTTTCAGCTGTTTTTCTAGCTCTTCATAGTCCTGTCTAACACAGAGAGAAAAGGCATGAGATCCCCCCAATAAAGCTCCCTCTCAGCAGGGGCCACTTTCCTTAGAACCCCTAAGGCTCATATTTTAGTAAAATCTCCATTAATTGAAGGAGCTTTGGTAGCATAGTGCCTATGGCATTTGACTGCTAACCAGAAGGCTGGAAGTTCAAACCCACCAGCCACTCCTTGGAAGGAAGGTTGGGCAATCTACTCCCATAGTGATACTGCCTCGGAAACAAGAGGAGGGGTCGTTATGAGTCGGGTCCGACTTAAAGGCACATAACAACAACAACAAGATTAACTGAAATCTTAATTACAAGGATGTTGGTTGTTATGCTTTCTTCTAAACAGAGATGATTATAACACCAAACAATTATAACAAAAGTTTTATTTCACAGTCAGTGTCAATTAGGCTCCAGAGCAATGCCACACACTTTCTACCTGCTTAACATAGTTTATCACACACCTCTGGTGAAATAGACATTGCCGTGGCATCCTCCCAATTTTTGCCCAAATCCTTGAAATTAAGCTGCAAAAAATAGCATTTGGACCAATGTAAATCAGAGTTACAGGTTTTGACGTCTGAGGAACAGAATATGAGTAAGTAGAATCTGAGCAGAAAGTAAGAGGCTTTACCTCGGTCAGTAGAGAAGAAAATATTTAAATATGTTTTTGCTTATTTTTATTTTCATGCAAGATATGAAATGGAAGTTAAATTATATCACTAAAACAATCATTCTTAAATTCTTCCTAATAAAGACCTTTCATAACTGGCTGTAGGCTACCTTTTCTAACTGCTTTTGATATTACAACACAATCCCAAGTAATCATATTCTTAAATTCTTTCTAATAAAGACCCTTCATAACTGGCTATAGGTGACATCATCTAACTGCTTTTGATTTTACAACACAAAACCTCCACACATATCAAGCAGGTAACCTCAATACTTACCTGCTGCCAGTGTCTCTTCTATTCTCCATCTCTCTTTAAAAGCTTTTTCTGTTTGTTTGTTTTTTTAATAGTATAGTATTTATGTATGTGCCTCAACACAGAACTGAAGTCTTTGACTTCAAGCTTGTTTCCTAAGTAAAATTATTATCTAGCACAGGGTTGGGCACAAATAATGTTGAAATTTATCTGAGTCCTGCACTCCTAGAGCAGAGTGACAGCTAAGAAATCCCCCCATCCTTTTGTGCTCCAGGAAAAAGCTTATCTCTTCTTACAAGGTGTTTGAAGGTCTATCTTATTGTCACAGTATTTTCCTTATTTGAATAGATTTTTGAATAACATCTATTCTTACTTAAGTTTTACTGTTTTTTTATTTGATACCAATTGTGAGCTGCTTAACAAATATAGATTGACTGAATGAATTCCCAGCTCTAGCCTTTGATTGAATTCTTATATTAGCCTTAAGCGCCTTTACATCCTCCTCCATTGTAAATCTAGACAGAAAACTTACCTCATCTCCTTTTCTCCATGAAATCTCTCAATGCTACACATATATTTTCTTTCTCCTCTTAATTTACATATGTTGTATATTCTCTCTACTTTTTCATTTTATATTTGATTTATAAAATGTGTATTTTTTAATGATTGATTATATGACAGCCTTTATATCTTACTGTGTTTTTGGAACCCATGAATTTCTTACATTTTTTCCCCAAAAATTACTTAATTTGATGCTCAACTTGTCCTAGAGTGGGCTGATGGAAGTGTCCACAAGTTCACTCTTATATTTTTCTGATTTGACCCAATTATGCTTGGAATTCTTTCTTGCTTTCTAGTGAAGAAAACAGCGTTGATTTAAAACTCATATTCAAATATCTAGAGCAGTGCTTTTATATCTCAAGATTAGTTTACCCAAAGATATAATAAAATGTGAACAATAACAAGAGTATAAATACACACATGAGGAGCTCTGGTAGCATAGTGGCTAAGGCACATGACTGCTAACCAGAAGGCTGGCGGTTCAAACCCACCAGCCACTCCTCAGAAGGAAGATGGGGCAATCTACTTCCATAGTGATACTGCCTTGGAAACCCAAGTAGGGGTCTCTATGAGTTGGGTCTGACTCCATGGCACATAACAACAACAACAACAAATACAGACATAAAATCAACCAATTTCATGCATGTGTTCATATATATATATATATATATATGTAATATATATATATAATTATATAATATTTATATATATATAAATTTAATATTTTAGCCATATTGCCATATTTCATGTTATTTTACTTCTTCTTAAATAATAAATAATTATCTATAATTATATATCAGACTGTGGTAGACACTTTACAAATATTGTATAATTCTCATAATCACTCAGAAAGGTAATTGGTATTGTATTTGCTTTACAAGAAAGAAAATTGAAATTCAGAATTTATGTAATTTCTTCAAGGTCACACAGGTAGTATGTGACAAACTTAGATATCTTCAATGACAAACTATTGCAAATATTGCTCTCTATAATAAAGTCAGAAAATATTTCATTGGTTCTTTCTCTGTTCAGGGCTTTTTGAAAAAACTTAAACCTTACGAAAATGTGGTAGGAAAAATGATAGTAATATGGCATTAAGAGAGTTGACTTTTAGTTTAAACAATCTTGGAAATTTTCATGGTAAAATATATATATATATATATGTAAATAAATATGTATATATAAATATATACATACACACATACACACACACATACACATATGAGTTTGTCCTTGAATGAGTCACAGAATATTAAACTGAGTAATGGAAAAGTGACTTCTAAGTACAGGGAACAATATCAGTAATGATAATGGAGATGGGAAAGTGCTGAGTACATGCAAATTTCAAATCAGCAAGTAGCCTGCATATAAAGTACCCACTGGGCTATTGGGTGAAACCTGAAAAAGATAGTGAGATTCAAATTATCAAATCATTTGAATGCCATACTAGGAGTTTAAAATGATTTCTGTAGGAAATTGACTGCTCTGTGAGTTACCAATGAAGATAAATTAAATACAGTCAGATTTCTACTCCAAAATATATCTAAAAGGACAAAGATTTAAATTATTCTCCTCCAGTTGCCAAGCTATTTCAAAATGTATATTCTTTCTTATTTATTCATAGGAAAGAAGATGGAATGACTTTTATTTATTGGCTTGGTTAGGATATTAAAATGTTGACCACAGGGAATTGTTTCCTGGGAAACGTTTGCAATGCCTGTCTTATGAAATTCAAGATAACTATAAAATTCCTCTGAATCTTGGAACCAAAGCAATGGATCATTTTGTTAAGTGGCATTTGTGGTATCTGACAGCTATTATTTTTTCTTTCCTTTGTATAAGACCCAATATTCTATGTGACCACCAGGATATTTGCATAACACTTTCTTTTCAGGGTCGGCCAATTCAAACTAAGAAAATCTTCCAGTGCATACAGAGGACATATAGCAGAATGAGTTCTGTTTGCCCGTATAAAGGTGTATAGAAAAACCCCTATTTGGGAAGGCCAGTCCCCCATACACATATAGTTAAACTTTGAGGTATTAAAGCCTTGTGACAAGTGTCCTTCATAAAAATATGCAATGTTGCTCTTACCAATTCTCCACATGATAATCTATCCATAGAAATGGAAATGTCAGCTGTTAAAGACATATGTTAAAAGCTGCACTGATCACAGATACAAACAACTGAAAATAAAATAGCAGGTTCAAATAATTATGATACATGTACAACATGGTATATTTTGAGATTAAAATATATGTCAATTAAAACTAAATCAGGTGACTTGAAGGAATCCTCATGAGGTATTTTTGAGTGAGAAGAGATACAAAAGTGTGTGATGCACTAATATAAAATTAGCAATAATCAGTAACACCTCTTGAATGATCAAATATGTGTTTGTGTATGTGTGTGTCTACATAATATACTGTAAAGAGAAACTTAGAGGGGAATGTGTTATGTGACAGAGGAAAGTTTCAGATGTAAGGAGAATATGCAATAAGGAGACACAAGCAAAAAAAGGGAAAAAGAGATTTGCTTGCCTTTGCGTAAAATCATTTGTGTGTATAAAGAAATCAAGTGAAAAGGCTTAAATAAGAAGTAAGAAACAAGCACATACAAGAACAGATATGTCTACTGAGATAATTCCACTTCCACAATCACCTTTACTCTCCTGGCATCTGTACTTTCAAAAGGAAATTCTCCTTAGACATTTTCTGAATTAAAATCATGTGTAACATAAAGACTAGCAAATAATTATTATGCAAATACATGTGTTAATATGTTTATGGGGTCACAATGAGCCAGAATCAACTCGATGGCAATTGGTTTGATTTGTTGTTGATGTTTTGGGGTTTTTGTGTTTGTTTGGTTTTAGTATGTTCACTAAATTTGGGGTTTCACAATCCAAATTTGAGATCTAGTTTTTGTCACTAATCAGGTAGTCAGAACATAGGCAAGTCACTAACTGTCTGGGTCTCAGTTTCCACATCTGTAAAATGACAGATTAAATTAAATACCACAAAATGAAAATTTTTGTTTAAAATAAAATATATGATAATTTCTATTATTAGTTTTGTGATCACTTAACATTTTTAAAATAGGAGAGAGAATCAATAGTACTAGCAAGTTTGCTTGTCATTCAGTGATCACATACCTTTGAGAAGAGGTATGAGGAAAGTAGTGTGTCTCTCAAAATATAAGTATTATGCCATGCTGGGTGTTAATTTTTAAAGGAAATAATCTCTTCCTCTCACAATGACAACACTCTCTTAAATATAAGCCATTGAATCCAGTGATATTAAGCCAGAGAGCAAACTTTTGCAACACTAAGAGACACACACACAGAAATTATCTCTGTTAGACTAATTGAGAGAGGTATAATATCTGTGTTAAAGATGCAGGAAATTTTAAAGAGTAATTTTGTCTGAATTTTGGCTAACGTCATTAATTACTTCAGAACTTGAATGTGTGTTTTCATTATACAATAGCTCATAAATTGTGGTTCTT